CAGCTGCTTGCCACATGCGCATTCATGGAGCTCTGTCCCAGGAAGCAGACCACTACAGAAGGCTGTGCTCGCTCTTTCTCTAAGGCTGAACTACTGCACAAGCTGAGCTTCCCACCAACAGCTGTGTGAAGATCTTTAGTCTCTGAAGAACGATAAGGTTCATCACTAATGGGCTGGCTACCTGCTAGCGTTTCTTTGACTCTCAGAATGCAAAATTTAAGATAATATGTTTTTTTCCTTTAAGTATATGTGTCTTATGCAATATTTGCATTGTATTTTTCTTTACTTTCACTGAAATTTGCTTAAAGTCTTATCCTTGGGATGTTTAGTTGCTGGGAACAGTTTCCTTCAACTTCCATTGCACCCCAGATCAGTTCTGGTGATCCTGCCAGTGCGTGGCTATATTTGAGAGACTGGATATTTAATGAGCACAGCCTAGAACATAATTTCCTTCAATAAATATATTCCCGCATCTCCTCACCCTTGCTGCATGTTAGTGGCCTCGGCTTTGGTGCTCAGGGAAGATGCTGCTGGATGCTATTACCCAGCCCTTCTTGGCACAGCTGCCCTGCCAGCTGAGACCATCCTTTGCTGCCTCCCCATGTTTATATCCTTCACATATTTGCAGTTGAGGTAATCTCAACCAGAAGGACCAAGGCACAAGGAATTGTTCCCGTGCTGGCATCCCGCACATGCTAAGATTTATATCACCTGTGGAACCGGATTTGCTGGATGAACTTGGACACTGATTGTGTCGGGAGAGCTCACAGACTTCAGGGGTGAAGCAGCTTACAAAAAGCCTTTCATTAGGCAGCAACATAAAATGAAATTCAGCCTCATTCACAGCAAACAATCATACTAGCCTAAGGAGGACAGGTTGTCATTGTATCTGCTACAGTTAAAGGACACCACTATGTTCCATAGCTAGCAAAGATAGGCAAGTAAGTTTACCTAAAGCAAGCAACAGAGTTGAAAGTAAAAGGAGAAGAGGAAGAGGGAAAGAAAGGAAAACCTCATCAAATCCTCATTTATATATTTGCACTTCATGCCATAATACTGCCAGATGACTGAGACATGAGGCCAAGTTGTGCAATCCTGCAAAGGGCTTTGCAATAAAAATTGAGAAAGCAGAAGCTGCCAGTTTCTGTGGTTAAAGCCAGCTGCCAAACACCCAGGATTGGAAAAGGTCCCACATCAGGGCTGTACCTGACTAATCTCAGGCCTCTGACATCCCAGCATATATTGCAGGTGATTCTCCAAATTCGCAGGAGAGATCTACAGTGAAGAGCCTTTGAGGAGCCTTGCTTTTCCCTGGGAGTGGGTTGTGCTCCAGGACACCCCCAGACCCACTCACATATCTCGTTCCTCTCCCTTCTCTAAAAGCCTCCCTTGCCCACGCTGTTGCCCCTGGGCTTGTGCAGGGGTCAGAGTCCCCATATCAGCTGCAAACCAGAGATCCCAGCACTTTCACTGCACCAGAGAAGCAGAGGAACATGAAAGATGCAGAATCAGAGGGATACAGGCTCTGAGTCACACCAGGATGCTCCCATGCTTGACGCTGAAAGCACTGGGGATGTGCAGCACAGCTTCCAAGCAGGGACACCACCACGATGCACTAACTGACAGCAAACTGCCTTCACCCTGGTTACACAAGTGGATTTACTGATTAGCAGAGCTTGGGTATTTGGGTAAGAGAGGTCCCTTCCAGCAGAGCTGGTGGGGCAGGGGAAGCAGGGGTGGCAAAGCTGTAGTCCTATCTCTTGTTTCTTAATTGGACTTTATTTTAGAAGCAAACAAATGTTTGCTCATATATTTTCCCTTCTCCTTCCAGCTCTTCATGTCACTATTAAAAGGGAGGAAACGGGTGTGGGGGAGCGATGTTTCACTTCTCAGTTTGATGGAGAACTCAGAAGGCTTCAGAGAATTATACCCAGAGGTGACTGGGGGGGGAAACACTTTCAAAAAATGGGTTTTTTGAAAAAAGTTTTTTGACTTTTAGAAAAGTCAAACCAGTCATTTTCCCATTGCCAGGAATTAAGACCTTAGAGGATGCTCTGACCTACAGGTCACCCACGGACAAGTGTCCCTCCCAAGGCCAGGTGTGTCTGGGTGGCTGACGCAGCACAGGTACTGTGCTTGTGTTGCCTTTGCTAGAGAAATCCTGCAGATAATCAGATTATAAAAGCAAAGCTTGAAGTCTGCAGCACTGTCCTTCCCTCTAACTGCCTCACAATGGTTTTTAAAGTGCTGGGGGATGTGTATGATTTCCCAGTAGGACCTTTTCCAGAAGGCAGGAGCTAAACCTGCTCCAGCACAGCAGGGGAACAGCTGAGATATTTTTTTATCTTCTCATTTTTCCCTTTGTAACACTGAGCTGATCTCCCTCAGGCTACAGCAGTGGAAGGAAATAATGCCGCTTGGGATGGCAGAGGATGCTACGTGCACGTGTCCTGCGAGCAGAGCCTCAAAAGGGCATGGAGGCTCCGTGCCTTTGGGTCCCCACACGCCATCATCCAGCCTTGTGTGCTCCTTTGCCTGGGAAGCCTCCGTGCCAGGATGGGCCAGCTGGGATGCGGGATGAGCGTCCTGCGGAGCACACTGTCCCCTCGTGCCCTGTCACCCTAGGTCCCGTCGGGTGGAATGGATGGTGACAGCATTCCCGGGGACTTGTGAGGGATCACTGCAGCTCCCAAGGGAAATCAAAACAGCCCAAGGGCTCGTCCAAATCAACCTTAATCACACATTTGGATGTGAGTGTGGGTACACATTACCTGGCAGGCTGCAAAGAGAGGGAGAAGCCCATCTTGTGAATATGTGAGTACTACAGGGCAAACTAAGGGCAAAAGTAGACGCCACAGCCAGCTTCATTGGAGAATGCTTCCAACCTGAATCTTCATTATTTTCTGGACTAAGACACATGGCACACTAGAGGCACCAAGTGACACAGCAATCCAGATGGCACTTGGGTCAAACAGCATTGCAGTGACATCAGCAGAATGGCTTCTATGGACCATATGTCACAGGACGTGAACTTCTTGACATTCCTTGCTTTGTACTACATGTGTGTAGATACCACTAGCATTTACCAAGCAGATCTTCCTGTTTAGAAATACGTTCTCCAGCACCTTCAGTGACTTCTGGGCTTTCCCAAGTAAACTTAGATGGAGCCCTGCTGTGTGAGTTACAACTCCCAGTCCTGCTTCATGTTTCCCATGTGATATTCAAATGTACCACATGTACAAGCCCATCAGCCTCCCACATGGCCATCGCCTCCATTCCCTTTTTCCAGGTTTCCCAACAGCTTCGCTCAGTCAGTCACACAACACCCCTCCTGCATTAGCATCTGGGGTCTTAGCTGTAAAACCCAAAGCAAAACTATCTTTGCCTCCTGCTCCCCACACCTTTACAGCAGCCCATCTCCCTCCTCTCCAATGCAAACCTCCCCCATTGGGGTCCTCTAGCAGAGACCTCCTCTTTGGCCCTGGGCACATGCTGGTTCTCTTTTACATAATCCTCAATAGGTTTCTCGACCCCCCATGCCCAAGTTTCAAGTGTAACCCTTCACCACTGCAGACTCCTGGAGAACCTCTGCCATCCATCTGTCCCAGCCCTATATATCCAGTGGTGTTCTATTCTTAGAATAATTTCAAAAAAAAAGCCAACAGAGCAAGAGATATAGCCACCAGAATCAACCTTAAAAAGTCTCCAGTTACTTTCGTCTCGGATTCTTCTTCTGCATCTCACAAAACTATCTGTGAACTAAAAATATGTGACCTCTACAAGGGGAAATACATAAATCTGTCTGGCCTCCACCAATCACCAAACTTTCGGGGTAAATAGGGTTCTGCAGTCTCTGGTTTATTTTTCAACTTCACTTCTGCAATCATAAATGTCTGTTAGTGCTGAAAAACTGGAATTGAACTGCACTTTGGAAAAAATGTGGCATGCTATAAATTCGACTCAGATTAATGTACAAATTAGTCTGCTCAAAAGTGCAAATTAGTCACGCAATGTTAATACATTCAGATAGACGTCTCAGAAAGGCAAGTACCTTTCTTTCATGACTGGTACTTGGCTATTAATAAATTAATTAGTGTAATAACCATGGTTCTTGGTTATTAATTGGTCACTCAGATAGGGGTCACTGTACTCTTGTCCCAAAAGTGACTTGCTTTAAATTTGTTATAATCTTATGGAAAAAGACTTCTCCAACCTGCTTTGTTCTTGTTGTGAAAGTTCGACCAAACCAAAACCACTTTCGTAAGCATCCCCATTTCCCAGAGCACACTCTCCACTGCGAGCTCTGGCTGCTGACCAAGCGCAGAAGATACACTAAGGTCTATGGGTACCCAAACCTACAGAGCCTAACAAAGCCCAGCTCAACCTCAGTCATGGAAAGTGCAGTGAGATGCCAGCCTTGCAGAAAACCCAATTATTTCCCACAAGTTGGAAAGAACAGGCTGATGATCTTGTATAGTCAGAGAAGGGCTGGAGAGAGACCTGCCAGAGCAAGTCCCTGCCTGAAGCTGTGGCACATGGGTCTGCCAGGCTGGAAAGACCCTTCTGAGTCGTGAAGCAAACACTCCCAAATCCCTCCTGCAACCCTACACTGAGGGATGGGACAGCCAGCAGCGAAACGGCAGCAGTCTCTGAGCTCTTATTTCTACTGAAGCTTGGTAGAGCTTTCGAGGGGAGGAAGGATGAGATCTTTATCAGCAAAGTAGCTTTAACAATTCTAATAATAAATGTGTTTTCTAGCAGAATAGTCCTATGGGAAGCGTGCAGTAGAGCCTTTAGAACAAGACAGGGGAAAACCAATGGGGAGTCCAATCCAAATGAGTTTGGGGTTGGATTCAGAACAATAATAAAAAGTTCAAGGAAGGGGCCTGAACCCCCTCGCTGGGAACTTGGACTGCCATAATTTTACAGCAGAGAAATGGAATCTTCTAAGCAGTGCCTAACATAAAATCATTGAAATCAGCAACAGTGGTGTGTCTTACTGTTCAGACCATTGCTCATCGTCTCCCCACGACCAACCAGAGCTGCATAGTACTTGTGGTCAGGCCACTCAGCAGGAGAGTTGCGGACAGCCAAAAGCAATGCTGGTGCCTGCGATACAGCACAGCGCGAGGCAAGGACAACATCTGGGTCCTGCATGGTCCCGTGATCCACAAAACAGTGATCCTCACAGTCTGGGGGAAGAGGGAGAGCTCCAGAGAGGGACGGTTTAAGTGCAGGATGGATGCTTTCTTTCCACCTAGATCAGCACCAGCACTGAAAGCCACAACATGAGCTTCAGAGGAGCAAACCGGTTGGAGTGAAGCTCTTCTCTGCTGCAGTTAAGACTGTCAGCATAGCAATCCTCTAACAGTTCCCTATCCCCGGTCACTGTGTAAATGCACTGGTCTTCATGCCAGCACAAGGACAGCAATGTGGGGAAGGAAGGAGGAGATGATGGACTGCCCTTTTTGGTGTCATGCTAGTCTGTAACAATAAATTTGATCTTGAATTTATGCTGTGGGAGCCTTGAAAGATGGTTTCTCGGTTTCAACCACTCTGCCTGTTCCCTTGCCTTGTTGTAGCCCTGTCCTTACAGCTCTGGATGGCCCAGGATTAGGAGTCTCACTTTTCTAGCTGGGATTTGCCAAGTAGAAAACTCTTCATTATGGTTTGGGAACAACCTGATGGCACATGTACGGTGCAAGGCGGATGGACAGCTGCAGCAGTGGTGGCCTGACTCTCTGGACACCCAGCACCCAGATCAGAGAGGCTGCACTTCTCTGCTGGCATGAGACAAGAAAATGAGGCAAAGAACCTTGAAAAGCTCTTTCATCCTTAGTCAGCAGTATTGTTGGTAGAAATATGATCTAAAAATGTTCTGCTTTAACAAGATGCAAACAACATGCACAGCCCTATGATGTCTTAGTGCAGAGGTTTGTCACGTCCCCCCTTAATGGGCACGTTCCTTCTCAGTGATTTATCCCCAACTTTACTCCAACCCCCTTCTGTGCAGGTGGCACGTGGGGGGCTGAGCTATACGTCAGCCGCAGAGCTGGAGGCCTTGTACAGTATGTATCACAGTATGAAGCATGCAAAAATGCAGACCACAGAAACGATATCTGGAGAAAGACATCCCCACGCTGAGGTTATATTAAAGCCTGTGAGCCAGGAACAGCCCATATAATGTGCATGTTGGGGGAGGACACAGCTGCAGTGGGAACAGAATTGTTAACATTGCATAACTCATTAAATGCATGTTACACTGGGTAGTAACCATGGGGAGAGGGTTAATCTCTCCTTCATTGCCCCAGGAAATCCATCTTTTCACCTACGTGCAGGAATACAAGGAGTTCATGAGAAGAAAGGGTTTGGGAACTGCCTCTGTCCCTTCCTGCAAATACATCTCTACCTGTCCATGGGAGAGACACCACCAGCACCTCTCACATGGGCTATCACGTGTGTTTACAACTTTATAGCAGTACGATTGTGAAGGGTTAGGATTTCATAAACCAGCTCCTGTCTATGACAAACCTTGACAGTGCAGAGCTGGTGATGTGCTCCCACGCCCGGGTGCTGGCCAGGCTGCTGGGTTTGGGTCCCATCACACTCAGCCCACATTCTCCATGCTCTGGTTGCAGTCAACACCAGCCTTTCTCTTGACCTTGGTCAAGAGATTTTCTGGTCTCTGCTTATAAAACCCTCTGAGGGAAGCAGGACCTCACTGTCCTGGACCAGGACCGACATTGGTATGTCCCTTCAGCTATGCCCATGGTTCACAATCAGTTTAAGCCAATCTAAGACCACGTTGTCACCCAAAGGTGTGGTCCTGCCTACTCCCTGCCCTGGCCACACGTTCCTGCTTGCTCCCTTGTGTCAGCACAACTTGTCGTGCAGTTACCAGCAAGTTGGATCAGCTTGGTGGGTCATTTTTCAGCCAGATTAACAGGCTGACCTGCCTCACCATGTGGTTTCACAACTGCTAGCCCTGGCTGGAGTGCATGGCTGGGGATAGGGTGGGGTGGGACGGGACGGGGAAGCAGGACTGTCTCTTTTGGCAGCCAGGCAGAGCTGGCTTGGCTTGAACTTCTTGTGAAAACCTGCTTTTAATTTTCCCTTTGGTAAATACGAATAATTCTCTTTTAATGGGGAAGTTGTGAGGCTCCATTGCATTTCAAAGGCACTCTAACCACAGCATCTTTCTGCAGATCATAACCGAGTTAAGCGTGTTGAGCAAATAATATTTCAGCTGCTAACAGTTGAGTCAACAGCAGGGTGATCACGATTTAATCTTCTATTTCGCAGGGGGAGACCATGCTGCTATTTTACAAAGCCTTTTTCATCACAATGGGATTCCCTGAATCAAAGGCTCACAGGTGTGATTTTTGGCTGGGAACAAACAGTTGCATTCCTTTCAGACATATTCTGCTTTCCAAGCACAAATAGCCTTCAACTCCTCACTGTTCAAGAGAATTGCTTTCCAGAAAAGGAAGGTGTTGCCTTCTCATGAGTTCAAAGGCCCATCAGGAATGTGGTGGTTAGGATGCTGCTAACAAAGCATCCTTCATTACCAAGGAACAATTCCTAGTAGCTAACCAAGCAAAAATGCCTACAGGAGGCTAAACCCAGCAGAATTTAGAGAAGGAAGAAAAGTAAATTCAGCCAACAGCAATGAGAAGGCGGCTGACTCTCCTTTCCTCTTTTTGCAGTAGCTGAATCAAAAAACCACGCTGCTTAGCTCTAAGCAATGCCCCTTTCAAAACTGATGGAGTAAAACAGACATCTCTTTCACAGACAAGCTGAAATGCTGCTGAGTTTTCTTGTTGATCTTTGTAGGGATATTACTACATAATAGTCAATGGCTATGCTCTTTGGGAGGTTAGATTAGATGTGCATAAAGATTTCTTTTGCCCTTTCAGGCTATTCATTTTGTCATATGGATTTCTTTCAGAGTGCCTTCTTTTTATTACAACAAAATTCTGAAGAGAGGCAGTGATTTCTAATTCTCTAGAGGACTTTACATAGCCATACCAGCAGAAATGAGCAATTTTATCCTGCAGGAGTGCAGGAGTGCCATAAATGAGAGGCATAAATGGGACATGTAAAGGAAGGCAGTTCCTTTCCCAGAAACGTGAAGTAGGCAAACCTTAACAGTCAGCTATGGTCTGGTTTCAAATATCTCATGAGAGATCAAAGGAATTTACCACAAATTCATTTCTTGGGTGTTTTAGTATTGACAGACTTCCTTGCAGAATTTATGTGAGCAGTTGATTGAGGCCAACAGATCATCTGAGCCTTCAGACCATCTGCCAGGGCATATCCTGGATGAATGCAGGAAGGTGGAAATCAAAGGATGGAGCAGTCCTCCCGTCTGGGTGGGATTTTTTCCATGTCTCACCTGTGATGCAACGTTGCTCTGTAGGGAAGTCATTCACCCCAGCTCCTTTAGGATAACTTCTTATCCTTAGGATATGTTTGGGATAGCCTTAGGAGATACAAGGTTAGCGATCAGGGGACTGAGTGGAGCATGGAGCCTGTATCTTGTCAGCTACTGCTGACCAGGGTGAACCTCAGCCTTTGCACAAGGTGGAACAGAGCCCTGTTGCAACGCGGACGCGAGCTGTGGGGTTATCGCAGTGAGACTGCTCCCTGCCTTACCAAAACCTGCTCCAAACCTCCTCGGTCCTGTGCTGTGCCAGCAAATCTGGGACACGGGGTGCAGAGCAGACAAACGGAGAGGGCAGGAGTGCAGACAGGGGCAAAGCTGAGCCATGTGTCAATCTACAGGTCAAAGCTGGGAGAAGAAACTGCTCCTTCCCTTGCAGCAGAGAACTCTGGAGGGGAGGAAGGCGCTGCTGGGGAGAAAGGGAGGTGAGGAGGCGCTACACAAATCTGAAGCATGTGCTGTTTGCATATGCTGTTTTGTGACATCTGGGTTAAAAAAGGAGCTTGTCCAAAACTGGAAGAAAGTATGTCCTTGTAATAGACGTGCAATCCAGATCTAATATCCCAGAAGGAACCGTCACCCTCATCTTAGGCAGTACCTGGCAAGTTTGGGGTACTGAAGTTGCAGAGTCTTCTCTGTAGAAGACTTTTGCAAAGACAAAATAGAAGATTTTTGTTTGTAAGAATCTCCCTGAACTAAGTAGAAGGAAAGTCTGCTTAGGAGGTGCTCAGTAAGTTGAAAACACAGCACAGTGCTCTATACTACATGTTTTTTGCTTAGAGAGCAGAAGAAACTGAAGAAAAACCACTAGCAGAGCTGTAGCAATTTCGGGGTGCAGCTAGCAAAGCCGCTATATAAAGTGCCTCGATATAGCAGAAAGGGGGACAAAAGAGGGGAAGGGGAAAGGGAAATGAGCTGCCGGGAGGGGGAAGCTGCCACAATTTGCTTCTGTCAGCAAGGCAGGGTTTAATGCCTTCTGCAGCCTTCCACCACTGCCCTTTCCCAGCCCACGCTCACGGCAGATAGCAGGGTAATAAATCTGTCAGTCCCTCAGCCTAGAAACACCTCCTCTCTGCATTCCTGTGTGAACCTGCAAAGGATTATTAGCTAAATATCTCCTTTTGAAATCAAAGCTAAACTTCCAGAGCTCCTAATCTGACCCTGGCAGTGTATCAAGTCATAGAGCTGCACAAGTCTCCTGATAATAATAGATATGATATGATATGATATCATTTGCAGTAAAGAAAGATCTGCATCAAATCCTTGCATCCCAGTTACCTGGGAGATTCCTTCTCAAACATCCCCACCCTTGTTTTTAAGCCAGCTGAAGGACAAGGATAAAAAAGAGGTTGAAAAATAAAGTGGAGTAGCTCACCTCTAATTTATTCCTGAAAAAAAGTTTACTTCGCCATATTAGATTACCTGTGTCCCCTGAAAGACCCAGAACATTAGTCGCACATGTTCACCACACTCCCCTTAGGTAAGAAGAAAGCCGATGCAATGCCAAATTCCTGTATCAGTTCAGTAACTCTGCTAAGCTGCTCCTTATTGTTCCACTTACAGACCCGATGTGCAATGTAAATGTTTTGGGTCCTTGCCCGCCAGCTCCACCTGCACAGAGCAGGCTGGCAGGATGAGTCAAGCACAGCGCTGGAAAATACATACCCATTATCTTATTACCCTTTGCCATCACCAGAAATCCGTAATGACTCAGGTCCAAAATATGTTAAAAGCCTTTGAACCGATCAT